AAAAAAAAAAAAAAAAAAAAAAAAAAAAAAAGATTCTCTTTCCCTCTCCCTTCGCCTCTCCAGTGCACATGTGCATGTGCTCTCTCTCTCTCTCTCTCAAAAAAAAAAAAAAAAAACAAAAACCCACATAAGCTTAGGACCTACTGGACTGAATGAATCTCTTTACATAGTATTCTTTTTAAAAAATGTTTGTTTCTTTTTTTTTTTTTTCAACGTTTATTTTTATTTTTGGGACAGAGAGAGACAGAGCATGAACGGGGGAGGGGCAGAGAGAGAGGGAGACACAGAATCGGAAACAGGCTCCAGGCTCTGAGCCATCAGCGCAGAGCCCGACGCGGGGCTCGAACTCCCGGACCGCGAGATCGTGACCTGGCTGAAGTCGGACGCTTAACCGACTGCGCCACCCAGGCGCCCCGTAAAAAAAAATGTTTATTTCTTTATTTTGAGAGAGAGAGAGAGAGAGAGAGAGAGAGAGAACACATGTACATGAGCTGGTGAAGGGCAAAGAGAGAGGGAGAGAGAATCCCAAGCAGGCTCTGTTCTGACAGTCCTGTGTGGGACTTGATCTTACCAAGCATGAGGTCATGACCTGAGCCAAAATCAAGAGTCAGGCACTTAACCAACAGAGCCACCCAGGCGCCCCTCTTTACATAATTTTCTTGATCTATTTTTCTTATCTGGTTGATATGTTCTTGTTATATTATGTATATGTTTTTATCTAATTATACATTATATCTCAAGACATTTTTTCCTCTGTAAAGATTATGTTTAACCAACTTTATAAGTCAGATATAATGTTCCCTGTCTATACAAAAACATGCCTACTCATTATAAACGTTTTGCCCAAAACTTTTAGATTGCCCTATTATGTTTGTTTTGCATCCCATAGAAACAACCAAATTTCCTGGCCAGTTTCATTATTGCTATGAAATATTTCACTTTTGTAAGTTCTTAGTAATAAGCTAACCATAGCCATTTTAAGTCTCTGTCACCTACAGATACTACTTGTTTTTACCCTGAAACTTCTTTGAAATCTCAGCTGTAGTCTAGAGTTTTTGTCTTTAATCAAAGGACTGTCTCAGAACCCCGACCGGAAGGATTCTAGCAGGTATTGTTAACAACTAGCACAGTAGTGAAACTCTCAAGGGGTCGATTCTTGGATTCGTGTCCTTCGACTGAAGAGACATCACCATCTTCAAATTACTGGAAGACCATCGCTACTGGTGACCTCAAGCTGAGGGTGCTTAGAAGCCCTCTTGAAGCAGACAGTCTTTGGATATAGACAGTTGTGCCCGAGATCCATGGAACAAGACCATAGATTGCCACTTTGTAACCTGTATTCCCCTGTTTTCTATTCTTTAACTTAAATTCCATCCTGCACTAACGTAAGGCTGTATTTAGCTGTGTTACTAATAAAGCCCTGTTTGCTTCCTTAGTCACTCCTTGGTATGAATCCAATACCCAGTTACAATTCACCCATGAACTACCTAAAGTGCATATTTCCCTTGGGAACCACTCAGCTGTCTTTGGTCCCAATTCCATGTAAGAAATCAGTTGGTTTTCTGGCAAACTGGACTCAACCATTGCGTGATGTTTTAGATGGTAAATTCCACAATAGGCCAAGTGGCCGGAAACCCAAAACCCCCATCACATTCTAGGAGGGCCTTGACTCTGCTGAAACAATAGTGTCACTGTACTAAAGCTTAGAAGGAGATCAGGGGACAGGTGGTGTATTTTTGGAGACTGTCTCGCTTTTGCAGATCAACAAAACACGTTACTTTTCCTTTAGACCCACCTAATAACCTCGATACTACAACATTCACTACCTGATACCAATCTATTTTTGATGAACGGTGTCAAAACTTTACAGCATTATTTCCCAATCCCATAGTAGTATTTTGGCCCAAACCAGATCATTACGTGGCCCCCAGTGACCGGTATCGGATCTGGTACAGAAGCCTACTATTACCCGCAAATCAGACAGGAACTT